GCCCTCTCAAGTTAGAGAAGAAGCATAGCCCAAGAACTGGAACACTAGGCTGAGGGTTGAGTAATTCACAGTATGTGTGTGTATGTATATATATATATATTTATTTATTTATTTATATTTATATACATATATACATGCACACATATTTATGCTTGCACAGATAAGACTTCAGAGGCAAATGAATGCATATAGGATAATCTGTGTATGTTTGGCATGTTCTTGTGGGACTCGTCTCATGCTTTTCCGACTTCACATCCGCCTGTATTGAGGAAGCCTCTATGACTGTAGTTATGAGGCGGTGTAAGCATGTAATAAGATGTCAGCTCCAAGACCGACGGCAGCCTCTACGCCCTTCGGTGCTGCGTATTCTTGTAGAGTAGCTGGCTTTGCGATGACCTTTGGAACACGTGAATTTGACTTCCAAATTCGCAACAGCACCGCACGAGCGTTGCAGAAGTAAGTTGGTGCGGTACTTGTTGCAGGCATGGTCGGCTTTTCGGCCTTTGCCATCGGGCTCAACTGCCTCACCGTGCTCGCGGTCTTCGGGTGGGCGATGTGGGTTGCCCCTGCAAGGCCGGCTGTCGTAATCCAGGTAGAGTTGTAAGCAAGGAGAAGATACGCAGGGTGTTCGATCTCTTGCTCTTGAAGTCCCAGTTCAGGATTTCCAACTGATGGCGACGATGATGATGATGATGGTTGATGACGATGGCCATGACGACGGCGACGTTGGCATGGTCATGATCTTTGTCTTTCTTCGACACTCCCTATGCTGTTCGGCAGGCCCACGACGAAGTAATCACACAGCTTGGAGTCATCTCCATGCAGCCCATGTCTGGGCACCGGCTTATTCCCATCGGAATTTCATCCACTTGGAAAGGTCGCTCGCGACTTCTTGAGACTCGGGGCTTTCGCATACCAGCGTCTTACATCTCTCATGGCAAAGGCCAGCTGCATGTATCATGCCACCAGAATTCCAAAAGTGTTGCCTGGAATGTGCTCGAAACTTTAGCGAAACTTTGGCTCTGGAAACTTTGCATTTGCGGAAAATACAGAAGCCAGTCGAGTGGAGAGCAAAGTGCAACATCTAGAATGTCTCAAAGGTGATCTCCGCAAAAGGAGATCGAAGTTGGCAGAGTATTGGAGTCAGAGCCACCAGGCCCTCTCCAGCAAATCCAAGCCAGTCCCCAAAAGTTTATCATTCCAGAAGTTCCTCCATTGCCACCGTGGCTCGGGCCGGGGGGTCGGCAAGGAGGGAGTCTCCGACCAAGTCCGAGTGTTTCACAAGTGCCGATGCTCAGCCGTAGCGTGCACGAGTGACCCACTTGGTTTTTTCGGCGTTCTGCAGCAGTAGATCCAAGCCTACTGTCGTGGAGATGCAGTGCTGGCCTGATAAACAAGAACCCCAGTGCGCATGGACCACGTTGGGAAGCACCAGTGGCTGAATAGGGAATCATGCTGCTGTTTGCTCGAGCAGGTTCCACCTAGTGTCTTTCCGTCGGCGCTGGAAGTTCATGATTCAGAAGATGAGGCCAGGTCCACGTTCTTGCGAAGTCTCTCACCAAAATGTAATTTTGTTTCATTGTGTGCACCGCGCCCGTCACTGACGTGTTGGTGGTGCTTCCCAGGCAACTTAGTCTGCGTCAGCAAACTCTCCAGGTTCCCCGATTGCCTTCAAATCACCTGGCATTCCGAAGGCCATCCGTCCATTGGTGGATGATGGTCATCCTCATCAAGGCCATTCTTGAATTGGCCAACTTCTAAGCTTTGACTGAAGCCCACCAGTCGCAACGGTCGCTGGTCGCAGTTCGGCCATGTTGGCTCAGAATCGAGAGGTCTTCAATCTAACGGCTTCGTTCAGGGACCAACTCCGACCCGGAAAGATGTGCATGCTTAGCCTAGCATGTTCTGTGCATGACGTGATTTAGCTGGAAGGTTCAAGATTCAGGAGCGCACTGGTTTACATCGCGTGTACAGTACATTGGATGTCTTCGAGCGCCGTTTGTCTCTACCGAAGAGCTTGATGAGTCCCTCTGGGCAGTGAGGGCAGAACTATGCCAGCCCACCCACTTGGCTGCCTTCCTAAGCCCTAAGCCCTTAGCCGCCCTTGCGTGAAAGCCCCATGATGTTGCAGTTGGGGAGGTGAAATCTTGCAAAGACATGCACAGTTGTCAACGCACATTTTCATAACATCTGAATCTGCAGACACGGTTCGTCCCAGTTGATGCCAGGGCTTATGGTTGGCACTGACATCAGTGCTGTGGAACACTACGATGGCCCAGTCGCTTTGGATCTGCACAGGCAGGGTCTGCACGGTGCAGCCGATCTGCTACAGAGCCGAAGCAGTGTTAAGACAGAGAGCTTGCAGCTGGCAGCCAGGATGGCACCAGTGTCGTGAGATGACTAGTGTGTCTTCATCATTTCGAGGCCTCCTCGCTTACTTCACGGGCAGCTACGTTCTGCTGCCGTGGCGGAGCGTATTCGTGGCCATGCTGGACAGCAGTTGCAAGTGGCGTTAGTTTCGAAGTGCGAGTTCTGCAGTGTGCTTCGGCCCGGCCGGGGTTCGTGGCCGCTCTTAAAGTTGCCAGCAGACATGAGCTTATGCTTCGTAGCCTTGGCTTCGAGTGCATGCCGTTGTCGATCCGCATGGAACACTGGGCTACATGCAGCCATCACCAGGAGCTCAAGCCGTCTAAAAAAGAAGCACAGACAGCGTTTCTTGGGAGGACATCGGCACCCACGTCTCGATCTTGCTGCTCTGCCTGCTCCTCCCGTTCCTCTTGACCTTCAAGCCCGAGGAGTCGGATGTGGCTTCGCTTCTTGGCTGAAGAACGATCGAGTCGTATCAGCCTTGAAAGGTGGAATTGAGCGGAGAAACTCGGTGCAAGATGCTGGCTTCATGCTCAAACGGTTGCTTACCCAAATCCCCTGGCAATTGCCGTCAACATGCTTGAAATCTCGTTTTCTCGCACAGCAAGGATGTTCTTCCTTATCTTGTCCGGTCTCTGCTTCCTAGCCGTTGTGACCAGCCTCCTCTGGATCTTGTACAAGGCGAGACGTCATGGACCCGAATCCTAAACCATCAGTCACTGGTTTCGCAGACAGTCGTCGTGTGCAGAGGTTTTGGGTCTTTGGTTCTATGTGAAAGCGGCACTCCGAACATGGCACAGACAGCTTCGCTATATGTTTAGACATGTCATAGGCATGTCTGTGTTTGCCATGATGGGCAGAAGCCCAGACTTGACCCCGAATCCTGTTGGCTCAAGCGAGCGCACAAAAGGCATTCGCATGCAGAGCTCCAGTGCAATCGCATTGATAGCGGAGCTGAGGACTCCAGGCCCTTGGGGCCGCTTCGCCATGGCATCTGGCAGCTTCCTGGGGGGCCTTCGTTTTTCGCGCTTCCTCGCCGACGAGGACGCAGCTGGCCAAGGGTTCTCCACCACGGAGGGCCGCTTCGGAGTTACCAGGTTCAATGGCGACTCGAGTCGCCTCAACGAGTGGACTTTTCGAGTCCGAGCCCTGGAGAGAAAGGAGGCCGCGATGACGGACACTGAGCTGAAGAAGCTTGGGCCTCTACCTTTCCGTTTGATAGAGTGTTCCAGGCGCTCAAGGTTGCGCAGACATTCGACATCAAGAAGTTGGAGAAGAATGGGGGAGGCCATACCACATTGATGCCGTGACCGCTGAACTTCGACCAACCTCGTCGTCTTCAGCACGCGATGGAGCTCTACGAGGCTGGAACAGCCACAGGAGGGTTCTTGGCACGGCAGCCACCCGAAACGATGGGTCAGTTTGTGTTGCGCAGGCGGGCATGGTGCCGGGCCATGACGGATCTCAATGCCGAGCTGAAGTTGCCAGATCTGATCCTGGCCGAGCAGCTGCTGAACAACGCCCGCCTGACTCCCGACCAACGGTTGATGGTGCCAACGACCCTCCATGGGACATGACCTTCGACAAGGTAGCCGAGGAGCTGATCGCGCAGCACCCTCGGATACACGAATGTGCTCAAGGCCATCCTGGCCTGTCCCTGGAGAACACCGAGGATATCCAGGAGTTCACAGAGGCCAACCTTTGAAGGGTGCCAAAAGGGGTAAGACCTACACGCCCCACGGAAAGCCGAGGTCCTATGGCTATGCCGCCGAGGCAAATGGACTCACAATGATGATGACGAGCCCCAGCACGACCTCGAGTACCCCGACGACGAGGCCTACGGCTACATGGGCTATGCGGATGGAGATGAGGACTCCGGGCACCACGAGATTGGCACGTTGCGGAGGAGCATCTGGCGTACTTGGTCGAGGGAGGACTCGACTTGGAGGACACCGATCGCTGTGAGTACGGGTCAGAAATGATACAGCTCGCGACGAGGCCTACTTTGCCGGCAAGGCCGCCCGGCAAAAGGGGCACAGCGGCTTCCAGAAGCTGCAGCTTGAGCTGTCTCAGGCTCCTTCAGAGAAGCGAGCCAAGCTGCAAGCGCAGAAAGCACGGACTACAATGGCAATGGAGAGGGGAATGGTTCTCCCACGAGCACGACAAGCGCTACTTCTTCTCCGGCAAAGGGGAAAGCAAAGGGCCAAAAACCTGGCATGGTCTCCTTCTCCATACCAGAGACCGCGCCTTCCAGAGCCCACCATGCGCAACTTGCTGTACGACATGATCCACAACAACCGTGAGGACCACCTGCACTACCCGACCGTGCCGAGCATTTTGAAAATGCGGGGAGAATGCCGCCGGGATGGTGCTTGGACAGTGGATGACGACTGGAAGCAGCTGATGGAGACGCTATGGGCCAGCCCAATGCGCTGAACTCGCACCACCGCCAACTCCTACGACGACTGCATCTGGAGCAAAGCATGATGATGCAGGCTATGCGCATGCGGCTTTGACGACCACCTCGCTTTCCTTTGCTTGCCTTCGGATCTCCTCATTGACCTTCTTGATCTTTGCTTTGATCTCCTCGTCGCTTTCTCCTGCGGCTGTTCCTGTTCCTTCTCCTGCTTCTTCTGGTCCTGAGTAGCTTTGGCTGTAGTACTCGTTCTCGTTTTCCTCAAACAGCCTGCATTTGTTCCTGGACCTCAAAGTATCTTCTGTCGTCGTCGTACTGTCTCATGTCCTCATTCGGGTCTTCCTTTACTTCTTTCCTTGTACTTTCCTGCGACCTTGTTGGTGAGGTAGTCGACGAAGTAGTTCCTAGACCATGTCCTTCTCGGCGTAGTTCGGCTTCCTCCAAACGGTCGTTCTGGCCACAAAGTTCCTGCTTCAACTTCTCCTGGTCTTCATATGTACTCTCCGTACTTCTCTCCGGCAACTTCATCTTCCTGCGAAAACTTCTCCCATTTATGCTCCAGTGTTCCGATGCTTGACGAAAGCATGCTCATGTTCCTGATGTTGTCCTGGTGTGCGGCTTCTTGTTCGTGGCAGAGTTCTTCAATGGTCCTTCTCACGTTTCATAGCTCCTCTCTGCTCGTCGCCATGAGCTCGTTGGCGGATTCTTGTCCTTGACGCAGTTCGTGGTGTTGGCGGTTGCTTTGGCTTATCAGGTCCTTTCAGCTCTCTCGCTGTTCCCGCGGTCGAGCTTCCTGACATGGCTTCTTCTTCTCTAGGACTGCTACACAGGTCCTGCACTAGTTCCTTGAGTTGCGCAAACATCTCGCAACAAAAACACTTGTTCCTGTATAAACTGCAAACGACACGTCTTCCTAATGCGCACTCACTTGCAGACAAAACTGTTCCCAATGCAGAGTCACTCATGTCGGCACACATGCACTCCTGAGTTCCCAATGCAAGTTCCCTCGTGTCAGCCGGCATGCACTCATGATGGTTCATGACAATTGGAACGGAGTTCCTTCTGAAATGCTCGCAATTGCTGAAAACAACAAAGCTGCAAAGCCGAATTTTCCGTTACTCTTGATCATCCTGACGCTTGCTTTGGCTTGAAGTTGGGTTCTGTGTTTCTTGAGCTCTTCTTTTCCTACAGGGTCATTGTCACCATCTTGAAATCCTAGCCAGTGCATGAGGAGTTTGATATGCTTTCCCGAAACGGGCTTTGTTCCTATATCCGCTGTGTCATGCTTGGTTCCTACTCGGTGCACACTGAGTATTCCTTGCTTGTGGAGGTCCTGAAGAAATGTAGCCCTGATCTGCAAATGCTTGATTCTTCCTACACCTTGCCTTGTAATAATTCCTCCAGCTGCCGACGAATCTAAATGCAACTGTACCTGGCACCTTTTCCCTGCGAAAAACGGCAGTGCTTCCATTCGAAGTATACTACGAGAAGCTGCTGATGTTCCTGCGTAGTACTCTGCTTCTCCTGAAGACAATGCCACGCTTTTCCGCTTTTCTGGTTCCTTGAAAAACGTATATATGACCTGTCCATCTGAAAACATTGTTCCTGCTGATGTCGATCTCCTTGTGTCCTTCTTGCCAGCCCAGTCGCTGTCGTTGTAGATTTCGAGATAGTGGTGTTTCTTGGGCTCCATTCCTGTGAAGTCGCATCTGCCGTTCCTGATAGACTCATGTAACTCATGTAGGTTGCTAGATTTTTTTGGGTATTTCGTGTGCGCTGGATGATATCCTTCAGTCTTGCTCATATACTGCACTATGTGCACAAGACGTTTCCAAGCAGTATGACAAGGTTCCGACATCTTTGAGGTTAGTCAGTCCTCGCACTGCCAATTGCAAGTCTGCTCTTTCCTGGCTTACATATCGAAATATTCCTAAAAACTTCCTGAACGAAGCGGCTTGTTCCTGATCAAGAGGATTTGTGTTGTCAGGTTCAGTACAAGGAGTTGGTTTTGAGGTTTTTGTTTTGAGCTTCAACTCTTCCTTGAGTTTGGTTAAGTACTTCGGGTCTAGTGATGTGCACTTCATGATTGTGACAGGTGGATTTCCCTTTGAGGAATCTGATGGTTTGATGAGATTCTCCTACTGCAAGTTCCCGTTCCGTGATGCGGGGGCCATCAACTTGAGTTCGTAGGTGTCTCCTAGCTTTCTCAACACTGGTTCAAGACATCTACTCTTTCCAATGTCATCAAAATGCACGGCAAGTATACTGTTCTTGTTGGCACGAGACAAACTAAGGCATGCGGTGCACTTATTGAAGTTTTGTTCCTGACGTGTTCCAGCGAAGTGATCGCCCCAAAGTAACGCTGCGTCACGCTGTCCTGGCAACGCGCGTCAATCTGTCCTGCAACCAGGGTCTTCTTCTCCAAACAACTCCACATATATTCCTTTGGAAACTCACATGCACTTGGCCCTCTGAGGTGCCTGAAGAAATACGTCCCTCACATCTATAGAATACATGCTGTGTTCCTGCTGCATTCCCAAGATGGGAATAAGTCTCGCCAATGAAGCTCTCGTGGCTGGACTGAAAGTGTCTGTACGGTGTTCCTGAGTTTTGAACTCGCGTGCTGCCAATCTAGCTCTACGAATCCATTTCCTGTCCCGAAAACGCCATTCAAACACAAATTTGGTTGTAGCCAAAGCCACTTGGTTCTTACACCTGTCTCTTCTTCTCTTTGAGCTCCCGTCTCTTCTCTTTCCAGTTCCTGTAAGGCTGTCCGTTGGACTGCCTTCATCGCCATGAGGCGATCGATCTCCGTGACCATCGCCTTCCTGTCCAGGTTCTTTACGAGTAACTCTTCCCCCGAAAGTTCTGGAGGTCCTGCATCTTCATTCTCGAAAAGTTCGTGGTCACAGTCTGAGCCAATCTCAGAATACGAGTCTTCCCAGAAAATGTGTTTTGTTCCTGGTTCGGGTTCCGGAAGTTCCTGATCGTGTTCCGGAAGTTCCCCATCGCTGCGCTCGTAAACTCTTCCTACATTGAAAAGCGCATACCTTTTGGTTGGAGAAACAATCTTCGGAATTTTAGATCCTGTTCCTACATCTTCAAGCTCTCCTTTCCTTGGCGGTGCTCGTCCCCTCGCTGAAAGAAACTCGACTCGCTTGCCATTGCGATGTCTACCTATAGTTCCTCTGAGGCTTCAGACATTGCTTTCGTTCCTTGGCGATTTGAGCCAGGGTTCCTAAAGGATGTTGGGTCGCTTTCTGCTTCATCTGACATGTGTCCTGTATCAATCTGTTCTGGATCCTATAGTTCTCGTTCAGCCTTTCTCTGGTGAGGTGCTCGTTGTTGCTTGGCTGTACGTTCTAGGTAGGTTGTTCTTGGTAGTCCTGTTCCTGCCCTTGTTCCACAGTCCCCGCCTTGGATGACAAGTAGTCTGTTGGGGCTCCGTCTGGACTGCTTGATCCTGTTCAACCTGACCATCTATGACGGGTGCAATCTCAGAAACCGGGCCTGGGATGCTGTTGCTTGGGTTTGCTCTCGTTGTCTAGTAGCTAGAGTAGTGTGCTTCACTTCGCAGGTATGTATTCCTACACTGCTGATTGCCTTGGCATCAAAGTGTTGACGGCATTGTTTGGCACTCCTGCTGGTGTTGATACCATCCATGTGCCATGTAATGTACAAGTCATTATCCGACTTTCCTAGAAACACTCCCCTCAACCACAAATGGTCTCCTGTCTTGCCATGCTTCACACCTGTCCTATTCACCAAAAATTTTCACCAAACTCGGCCAATGTTCCTTGAAACGGTCGTCGAATAGTTTGGATGCTCGCTCAGCCATGCCATTGGTCTCCTTCTGTCCTGAAACTGCGTGCTGAAGAACTGTTCCTAATCCTAAAGTCCTAAAGATGACCTTTGCGAATGACCTGCTCGCGCTTGATCATAGTTCCTTCATTGTCAACTTTCAAGTTGATTGCTCCATACTACAGTTGAGTGCTCATGTACGTACCTCCTTCAGTTAGATGCTCGATAAAGTCTTTCCTTTGGTTGCTGTAGGGATACAGACCATATTCCTACTCCAAGGGTCAATGCACACAAGACTGATTGCTCCTGCAGCATCATCATGGCTAGTTCCAGTGAAGCAAAAGTTCATACGGAACGTCAATACAGAACGTAGGTCTCGATGATCGTTCCTTTTCAGGGGTTTCACGAAGATGTGGTGATTCTGTACCTTTACAGGCAACACACACCGGGCACCAAGAGGCATACGGCCACTGTGTAAGATTGTGAGGGGGCTATTAATCAAGAGTTCCCATTACCATGTTAAAGAAATGGCCTCACTAAGGGTTCCCACAGCGCAGAACATCGGGCACTTTTAGGTCTTTCTTTGCCAGTTGCGAGTGGCGTAAACTGTGTGTTCCTACACTGGCAAAATGTTTACCAGATCTCCTGCTCGGCATTTACAGGAGTATGTAACTCCGGATCATCGGCAATCATCTCCGTGTTGGGTGTTGGGTTCTGGGATTGTCGGCAGCTCGGTTGCTGGTGGTTGAAGAAGTCCAGGTGGTAGTTGAGGTTCTTGGGTCTCCTGCTCGGCATCCTGCTCCAGCAGCCGGGTATAGCCGGGTTGTTGATGTCCAGGTGGTCCTCCAACTCCCACGAGGTCGCCCGGGAGCGGGATCTCGTCATCACGATCATCGTCCTGTCCAGCTTCATCCTCCAGCTCCTGTCTCCTTCGCTTCTTTGATGGACGAAGTTCAAGAACACGCTTGGCCAGCATTTCATTCCCTGTGGCGTGCCGGCATTGTTCCACCGAAACAGTCAACGGAATTCCAGCATGAACCACCCACAAAGTCCCGCGTCCTTCTTGGCCAACGACTCGAGCAGGATCATACCACTTCCAGTGTCGGTTGGCAACCTGCTTCTTGTGGTAACAGACGAGGTCTCCCATGAGGAATGGCCCCCTGCTTGGAGTGCTTTTCCTGAGTAGTGAAGCTCGTATGCGATGTGACGGGTCCACTTG